CCAGGAGATAACACATTTCATTGTGCACAAAACAGATGGATATAGATATCATAAAAGAAAACAAGGAGCAGATAAAGTTCAAGCAAATGGTGGATGTGGTGAAAGAAAAAAAAGGAAATAAATCTCATGAGGGCTGAAGGGAAATTATTGGCTTATTACCTTCTAACCGAGCTGCTCTCTTTTATACTCCCCTTGGACAGTCAGATAACAAACCACATAAGAGTGGTCCTCATTACTCCTAAGTAATAAATGCATTACACCACTACATTTCAGATCTCAAATAACCTCTGGAGTCACCAAAGACATCCTGTCCTGGTGTGCGTCATTATATTAAGTGCACTGGGCTCTCATGACGGTGGAAGAAAAGTTTGTTTTATCGACGAACCCCTGATTACACAATACAACACAGTGCCTGCATATGGTAATATGAACTGTGCTGCAGTGGAACAGATTGGTTTTTTCAAGTCCCTTTGTTTAAATGGAATAGCGAAACACAGCAATTCCATTTATTTATTTTGAGTAGCCTAACACTAATTGATTTAGAGTGAAATATAAAAACATAAAACACAGAGGACTTGGAAAACAATTTAAATAAAAACTTTTAAGTACTGTAGAACTCATGTTTTAGGCGATCTCTGTTGTAACAAATCATATAGGCCAGTGGTTCTCCAACTTTTTACACCAAGTACCACCTCAGAAAATATTTGGTTCTCCAAGTACCACCATAACGACCAACATTAAAATACAGTAGTAGTAGGCCTAACTATTCAGCTACAGTTATGCACAGGCAGGCTCAAAAACCAGGCAGTTTTATTTATAATAAGAACATTTATTATTGCCAGCCACTTTAAACATTGTAACAAGTTTTAAAATCAACACTGCACTGTGTTGCTAACATAGAGTTTAATAAAATAAAACTTAAATAATGATTCAGTTAAAATGTATTGCACCTAAAAGTGAAATAAAAACTGTACTTGATTAAATGAAAATGTATTGTACTTAAAAGTACATGTTGCTACTAACATGAGCTTAATGTGATGGGTGTGCATGCCTCTGTGAACACAGTCCAAAAATGTCTGGGTCAATGGAGGTCACCTTCAGTCTCAGGTTTGGCTCAGCGTCCATCCTGCTTCTGTACTTTGTTTTTATTACAACAACTGAAGAGAAGCCTTTCTCGCAAAAATATGTGGTCACAAAAGGAAGGAGAAAACGCACGGCCTTGTCGGAAAGCACAGGGTAATCACTGTGCTGCTTTATCCAAAAGTCCAACAATGTTTGCTTTCTGAAAGCTGCCTTCAATGTTTCGTCACAAGACAACTCTATTAAACTCTCCTGCTCACCAATAGTTAAGTCCTCTGAAGCCATTTGAGAGGTGTCGATGCTGAAAGGGTTTCTCATCCAGCTGCTAGCTTCAGCTTCAGGCATCACTGGGAAATAATCAAGGAACTGTTGTCTGAGCGACACGAGGTGTGCAGTGATGTTCTCCCTGACTCCACCATCAAGCGTCAGGTCATTGTCAGACAGAAAACTCTCCAAAGCAGGGAAAGCTGAAACATCACCTGTCTTGACTTTGATTTCAAATAGCTTCAACTTTTTAAGCAGAGCATTGATTTTGCACTGTACGTCAAAGACATTGATAGAGAGTCCCTGTAGTCCCAAATTCAGTTCGTTTAAACATGAAAAAATGTCAGACAAGTATGCCAGCTGACTGAGCCACACAGTATCCTCAAAAATGTCTGTCATGGGAAAAGTTGTGTCCTGTAAGAATATCTGGACCTCTTTGTGCAATTCGAAAAGCCTTGAAAGCACCTTTCCTCTTGAAAGCCACCTTACTTCAGTATGAAGCAAGAGTTGGACATGTTCACTGCCCATTTCCTCGCAGAGCACACTAAATAAGCGAGAATTCATTGGCCTGGCCTTAATGAAGATCACAGTTTTCACAGCAGAGTCCAGCACAGACTTCAGGTCATCAGGCATCTTCTTCACTGCCAGCGCCTCACGATGGATGCTGCAGTGAGTCCAGCGCATCTCAGGTGCTACCTCTCGGATGCGAGCTGCAACTCCACTGTGACGACCTGTCATAGCCCTCGCGCCATCTGTACACACTCCCACACACTTTTTCCAGTCCAGTCCGTTCTCTTGGATAAACGCATCCAGTACCTGGAATATGTGCTCTGCTGTAGTTCTGGTCTCAAGTGACTGGCAGAACATAAAGTCCTCCTGAGCTGAACCATCATTTTCATATCTGACATAAACCAATAAATTGGCCAAATCTGCGACATCTGTAGTCTCGTCAAGCTGGATGGCAAAATGTCGACTGTTTTTAATGCGCTCAATCAGTGTCTTTTTAACGTTGTCAGCCATGTCTTTTATTCTCCGTGACACAGTATCATTTGAAAGCGGCACCAAGTTTAACTCTTTGGCAGCTTTCTCTCCACACATGATGCGTGTCATCTCTTTGGCTAAAGGTAGACACAGTTGTTCCCCTATTGTGTGCGGCTTACCAGCTTTGGCAATCCGGAGGCTGGCATGATATGAAGCCTCCTGTGCTTTGATTATGGGTGTACCACAAGATTTAGGCTATAATATAGGCTACACACCATTGTATAAAACACATTTTAATATATTCGACCAAAATAATATAATATAATAATAACATTCACTTTAAATAAAATTTGAAGCATAATATGCATAATGTTATAATATTATAACATAGTCTCACATAGGCCTAAAACATGTTTAAAATGCAGTGTGACTATAGTCTGCTGCATTCAGAGTATAGTGGTGTCAAATTGCCCTAGAGTTTCACTACCGTGTTAAACCTGTGGCATCTCACTGACCTCACAGGTTTGTGCTGTATTGATACCATCTGCTATTAAATGGTAATACCATGTAAACAACAAGGTCTGTAAAAGGGCAAAAATGTCTTTCCAACATGTAAAAACACAAAGAAATGCAAAGAATGATCAATTTAGCTATTTTACAGTAATATTTTCAGCCTGATCAAGTAAGTTATTACTGCAAATGTAATATTTAATTTGTCATATGGCTGCAATTATAAAAACCTTGCAATTTTTAATATTAAAATAAACTAAATTACTTTCACTTTACAATAAGGTCTCATTTGTTAATAGTTAATGTATTAAATAACATGGACTAACAATGAACAATACATTTGTTACAGTACTAATCCATCTTTATTAATGTTAGTAATGTTAATCCAGCTGTTCATTGTTTGATCATGATATGTAATAGTTCATTAACTAATGTTAACAAATACAACAATTGATTTTAATAATGTATTAGTAAATGTTGAAATTAACATTTAACTAAGATTAACAAATGCTGTAGAAGTAGGTTTTGCTCATACTTATTTCATGTTAACTAAAGTAGTTAACTAATGTTAACTAATGAAACCTTATTGTAAAGTGTTACCCACAATTCTGATAACTTAGACATAGTCAGTCACCTTAATTTATATAGCGCTTTTAACAATATAGATTGTTTCAAAGCAGCTTTACAGTGATAGTAGGAAATTACAGTAACAGAGATAGTTTTGGCTTTGCAGCAGCTCTAGAATAAAGTTATTGTCCAGCTAAAGTTAGTTTTGATTGATTGATTCACTTCCATTGCAAAGATCATTAGTTATTAACTTATAGGGGCCGCTAACACGACACCGTTCTAACAGAAAACACTCAAAGTGCTCCGGCCCGCTCATCCGCACAAAACAGTGCCTGGTGGCTCGAGAACACAAACCCTGAAATAGATCCCAAGGTGCAAGCCTTGAAAATGTTTTTTTTTTTAAAAAAGGTTATCTCTACAAACCTACAAACCCGCGAAAACGCCGACAGCGTGCACACGCGCATCACATGTTCAGTCCATAGGTATGGCATTTGAATATATGTGCGCAGGCGTGCAGTCCTTCTTCACAAATCAACCCTCAACAAACTACCTGTCTGGCCTTAAACATTTATAATAAATAATTATTTATCGCTTCCACGTAGCCACATGAACCGGAATTATCCCGACAACGTTTTATCTGTACAGAGGTAAAGTATTAAAATAAATCACATGGCATCTGGCTATAGAAGAAGCTGATTTGAAATCCACTTTTATTTATAATTGCAAATATGAATCAAATTACAAATATTTATCTTTTTTTTTTCTTTCTTTTTTTTTTAAGTATGACTGTTATTATTAAGTTTAATGATTGCCATTAAATAGGAGGCAACAACAGTCAACAATAATTAATAATTGCCCCACCCCCAAGGGTCTTGTTTTCAAATGGTTTCATTTGCCTGCCATTATCATTGTGGACCTAATGTAGATAAGGAATGAAATTACGCCCATTTTATATAATCATTATACTCACATATTAAAGGTTTTCAAACTGTACTTCAAAAACCAGAAATTGTCGCTCATGAATAAAAGTCGCCTGAAGAGGTTGCTATAGCAACATCACGCTACACGAGCGCTTGTAGATATCATACATAAAAAGCATTGCAAAAAACTTTAATGGTTTGTTGAAAAATATATATATCTTTAAGATAGTGGAGGGTTAACTAAAAGGTTAGACGATTAGAGGAGCCAAAACTAAATTTTATCTGCGAGAAAAGAATATCAAAGAATGGGCACCGAAAATTACTGACTGTCGGAACCCCTTTAAAGTCTTTGTATAACTCTCACGCTAAGGTTAACTGTACCGATTCTAGAAAAAGTGTTTATCTATGAAATGTAAGCATCTGAGCGGAGCGCAGATTTGCGCGCTGATCCTCCACTGGTTCAAGATCATCGCACAGTTGCGCACTCGACTCCGCGCTGGCATTGCTACCAGCCTCAGTCACTTCTAAACACCGCCTTTCGTGGGAGGCAACATCACCGGGAGAACTTAAGTACTTCGTCTCACATCGTTCGTTTCGCTGAATGAATCCTACAGATTTTCAAGGTGATTTCTTATACGCACCAAATAAAAATTGTGACACAAGGACGCCCCGCTGCCGCGACGTTAACAGGTAGCCAAAGGGAATTGACAGCGCTGATTGATTTGTTATTGATATCCAAGAAACCCAGAATACCATTGAAAGTCATCGATCTGGAAGGAGGGTATCTTTCTCACGGATTTGATGGATGTTTGAACGGTTGGTGATGCCCATTTATATCATCGACCGCAAATTTCCAGAGACACCTGGTGAGTCTGTTAAGCATGCTGCACATGGCTTAGAAACATGGTGTGCTGACTTAGAATTTTCATTAATACACTGGTTGTGAAATGATAAAAGTTGTTATTCTCTGGTTTTAATTAGTAACAGTTGTTGTCATGTCCTTAATATATTAAGTTGCGCACTGCTCTAAAAGTATCGACAGCATACTGAATGTTTTTAAGTAATTTACAGCCTTTAAATAGCATCTCAGATATTTGAAAAAAATTAAATGCATAATTAACATAACTGCTGCATGTTCCTTTGGCAATTTAACTTCTTTCATTCATGTGACATACCTGTCACCTATATTATACATCTGTTACTCGGTGTTTTTTTTTTCACTGTTCAGAAATGTACACATCGCAAAATTAAATGTCAAGCACCAAGAGTACTGTTGATACAGTACAAACTACCCCACTAGTGTAACACATATAAACATTGCCTATAGAAGCAAAAGCAAAATAAAGCTGGCTAATGACCCTAAAAACAGTGTTTGTTAGAGATTTTGTTAAAAAAAATCTCATTTTGTGAAGTCTTTAGAAGTACATTGAAATCGTTAAAGATTTATATTTGATCAGCCATGATAGCTCATGATAGCCTGTAGCTCATTTCTAATTTAGTAAAGTGATGGTTTTACAACTCAGCCCTGAATGGTTATCTAATGATTAATTATCATGAATTAAATGTAAATTATAAAAATTAGTCATCAGTCATGTTTTGCATATTTGGAGACCTTATATAACATGGATGTGATATCATGCACAGGTTATCCCCGATAAATGTTAAAATGTAAAGCAACATACTGTTTGTGAGGACATCGAGATGGAGAAAAGTACATGACTAAGATAGAACAGTGGTGACATCTCACTGAACCATGACAAGTCATGTGATCATGTGTTTCTCCTCAGATCAGAACAATATGGTCAAACCATCTATGGTGATAGACTTTTATAAACAGTTTTTCCCAAACATCAAAGAATGGAAAACTCCATGACAGAAGAATCAAGAATCAGCACTATCAGCACTATGTTTATCTGATAGCTGTTTAACACAAGATTTAATTTGTTTGGTTGTCATCTTAAGTTTTGAAATATGTGAAATGAACTGAATGCAACAGGCTCATTACAGAGTTCAAAGATCCAGCACTGAATCACTATCATGTTCCTGAATTATATTGCTTTCTGTCATGTTCCACTTAAAATGAAGCCTGAAGTCCTTATTGTTTCCTTATAGTTTATAAAACCCCAGAAAACAATATCCCAGCTAACAGGGAACGCAGAGCCGGCCCGAGCCTTTTGGGGGCCCTAAGCAGAATTTGATTTGGGGGCCCCCTCCCACTACGCAGAGTCACCTGTGCTTGACGATTATTGACACAAATATCCCGCAATAATGATACATTATAAATTACTGCAGTGAGGTTATGTATTAATACAAAATAAATACTTAATAAAAAATAGATAGCCTACTTAAATAAAAAAGTTTTAACTTTTACTTTACTCTTTTACTAACTCTTTGAAACTTCTTAAAACAAACTCAAAACATATCAAATAAATTATTTGCTAAAATAATGACAAAACTGAGAAATGGGAAACATAATAAGAGCAAGGGTTCAACAATTATTGTTGAAAACTGTAAAAATATTATTATTTCTCAACTGCCTCAATACAGAGTAACTTTTTTTGATGATGATTGTAACAGACCTTGTTGGATTGTACATGACAGAATCCAACAAAGTCTGTTACTATAATACCGGTAATGATGTACTGGCGCTCGTTGCATATGTGTGTATGCAATGCATTTTTCCCCTCGGGGCTTGCCGTAGATAGGAATGGGTCAATTGCTGCACAAAACATACCGTAAATAATCATGCAAATATAGTTTTATCTTGCTCTTTGTATCCTCCTCTGTCCTTTTCTTCTTTCTATTTTCGGCACCAGAGGGATACGTCCTTTTTTGTGACGTGGCTTAACATTACCGTGACTATGCGCAGTTGCGCACGAATTGTCTATGCACGCGCGAGGTGTCTAGATTATACGCATGACTTAAACGCTGGCAGACACAGCAGCAGTTGTAGGCAGATATATTGATCATGAAATCAGAATTTTCTTGTCTCGAATTATTCATTCATTCATTCATTCATATTCATTAATTCATTAATTTATGTCACTTGTTTAAGTCATCTAAAAAATATATTTTTCGACTCGATTGGGGGGCCCCCTGGTGGCAACGGGGCCCCAAGCAGCCGCTTAGTTCGCTTATGCCTCGGTCCGGCCCTGAGGGAACGTTCCCAGAACATTCATTAACGTTCTTTAAAAGTTGTGTAAATGTTAGTACAAAACGTTATTAAAATAATGTTTTCGGAACGTTCATATAACGTTATTAACATTCTTGTAACGTTGAGAGAAAACGTTCTTAGAACAACGTTCTTGGAACGTCTTATGACGTTATTTGTGATTGCTGAACGTTCTCATAACGTTGATAGAAAACGTTCTTGGAACAATGTTCTTGGAACGTCTTTATGGCGTTATTTGTGATTGATGAACGTTCTCATAACGTTGATAGAAAACGTTCTTAGAACAATGTTCTTGGAACGACTTTATGACGTTATTTGTGATTGATGAAAGTTCTCATAACGTTGATAGAAAACGTTCTTAGAACAAGGTTCTTGGAACGTCTGGTAACACTTTACAATACGGGTGCACTAATGTGCATTAATTCATGCTTAACTAATGCACAGATAATACTGAATTAATGTGTAACACATGATTATCTAAGCTATTCATTAATGATTACCACATTAGGAACTAATTAAGCGTCTGACTAGTTAATATATTAGTTCATACATGAATTGTTATTAATTCAATATGTAATTGTGGATTAATTCCCTAATAACTCATTTTTTTAACTAATAGTGTTAATTAATATGTTAATTACCAGAATGAGCCAAAGCCTCGTATTTCAACTTCCAGATAATACAGGTACACTAATATGCATTAATACATAATTAATTACTGCATTATTAGGGCAAATTCATGTGTAAATTACTACACTTACTTAATGACTAGTTAATAATGATGTGCCTCAACAAGTAAAGTCACAACATAATTATATATTTGCAAACCATCACTACAGTTTATAAAAGCTGTTTATTGAGCACTTTCCAAAAACACATTACATTAAAACAAAATATAAAATTAGATAATATCTCCCCTTTCTATAACAACTGTACTGAACTGCCTAAACAAAAACAAAAAAACTAGCTCATGGGCTGAGCTGTACTAAAGGGGTGGGATGATTAGTACCACTAGAACAAAAGCAGTCATAAGGAACAATGCTGCCTAAAATGTACTTATGCTTTAATTTAAAGGGATAGTTCACCCCAAAATGAAAATTCAGTCAGTAATTACTCTCCCTCATGTTGTTCCAACCCCGTAAGACTTTCATTCATCTTCGGAACACAAATTAAGATATTTGTGATTAAATCTGAGAGCTGGATCACTCCTCCATAGGCTTCTAAGCAGTGGTTCCCAAACCTGTCCTGGCGACCCACCAACACTGCACGTTTTCTCTGTCTCCCTAATCAAACACACCTGATTCAACTCATCAGCTCATAATCACATGGGTTAATGAGCTGATGAGTTGAATCAGGTGTGTTTGATTAGGGAGACAGAGAAAACGTGCAGTGTTGGTGGGTCGCCAGGACAGGTTTGGGAACCACTGCCTTAGAAGCCTATGGAGGAGTGATCCAGCTCTCAGATTTAATCACAAATATCCTAATTCGTGTTCCGAAGATGAACGAAGGTCTTACAGGGTTGGAACAACATGAGGGAGAGTAATTACTGACAGAATTTTCATTTTGGGGTGAACTAACCCTTTACCAAGTTATGTTACTTTTTCAGAATGTCTAACAGGTCATTGGCCTGTTTCATAGCACATATAAGACTTGCATTTGGCTCTAAAATACACTGAGCCAAACATTTGTCCGCAAATTTTTGCAGACTGTCTCCTTTTTTGAAACCAGCCCTCAGGATCTTGAACATGTCAGGGCTAACTGCAGCCAGCTCTGCAATTGGTGCTTGGTTCACAACTGTGTTTCGGTCCACTCCCACGCTGTTATAGGCATCCGTCTTTGTTGAGCCACTTTTGACAAGTCGGAGGACCTTGTGGTATCGCAAAACAGACTCCTCAGGAGTTCGTACTGGAATAAATGCATGAAAGAACAGAAAAGCAAATGAGGAGGAATCATTCCATACAAAGCATGCTGCCACTACTCACACCAATATATGCAAATAAGGTACTTTTAAGGCCATAGCACTGCACTCAAAAAATTGATGTGTTGGCTTTACTTAACTTTTTTATGTAAACAAGTTCCACCAGTTCCACATAACTGGATTACGTTAAACAAACATAATTTGTTCATGTAACTTCAACATCATGGAAGTCATTTTAAGCGATCCAATTAAACTCTGAGTGGAGTGTTAAATGAACACTGAAGCAGTGTTAAAGTTAATGAGATAATTAAGTGAATTATTGAGTGATGATTGAGCATTATTGAAGACACCTGATGTTAACAAGCAGAATCACTGAAGGAGAAAACCTGATTTCGGGTCACCATTATGGTGATCAGTGTTTGGTTTAGTTGGGCTCTGGACCCTTAAATCATTAACTTTATATTTTGTCTGGCTGCTGTATCTGAGTTATAACAGCCAGATGATCAAATAGAAAAGATGATCTGTTGATGTTGGTTGTGTTTTAACATAATCATTATATCACAATCATTTGACCTGAATCACTGAACTCATATAGAACCCACTTTCTGAGTTAAGTTTACCTTATGGATTATAGCAGCACTGCTGTTGTAGAGCATACCATTTTTAGCCTTTTCAATGAAATTAATTTAATAAAACTATCGACATTTGTCCGATCATAGACAGGAACTAAAAAATAAAATAAAAAAATCACAGCACCCTGTTAAAATAAAAGTTTG